ATTGACCTCACATGGCAAAAGTGCTTGTAGCAGCACGCTTGGTCCATCAGCTGGCCAAATGACAAGCAATGACTGAGAATTCTGATTCATAACATGAGTATATAAACAGACTTCTATCACATCCCCTATCAGCCATCCAACTTTCACTAAAACACATGTACAAGGAATTTCCTTTTCCTCCTATATAATTGGATTAGCTTGCTCAAGGTTAAATGGTCTTAGCAGAAATGCAAACCTTATTTTTCAATTTAGATCAGCTGAAAATAAAATACCCATGCTATACTAAAGTCACATTTGAGACTGGAGCAAAGGCCTTCCATTTAAATAGCTTAACTTGAAAGGTGCTTTATTTTCAAGTGAGACCAAATGAAAATGGATCTTGATCTCAGGAGAGACTGCACATTTGATGGCTCTGAGAACACACGAGTAGAAGCTGCTATTATTTGCATAATTTTTAATAGACTGAGTGTCAGATAAATATTTACCATTATTTATATAAAAAAAAATTTTTCTACAATTATATGTACCTCACTCAGCACAATTCTTGCTTGGGGGGGGGGGGCAAACTACCAAAACGCTTTACTCAGTTAAGCCATTTTAAAGAAAAGACTTTTTAATCTAGAACAGGTATCACTTTGGCAAGACAGAAAGTGTCTTGCGATTCTGGGTGATTTTTGATACGAAGTCTTTCACTTCATTACTAACACAATCACATGCCATTAAAGGAAGAGCAGCTACGTTCTTACTTCTACAGTCAGCATTCATTACTACTTCTTTGTCTTAAGTTTTGATGGTGCTAATTTTATTTTTGTATGGTTCGATTTGTTATTTGGCTTGTGAACTCGAAAAAAGCTGTAACGCTTAAAATGTAAACATTTCAGGTAATATTTACATCAAATCATATTTTACTTATTATTTAGTTCTTGAAAAAAGTTCTATTAATCTTTAATTTCAAAAACACCAGCTTGGCACTGTAAAAATATCTGGGCTGAAATAGGCATATTTATTCTCACGTTACAGAACAGGAGAATCGAGTATACCCATATTTTCCCTGGAAGACATACTGAGCATGCAATAATTAATGTTTGTGCAGCATGCTATCTTTGCTGTTATAATATACAAAAGGGAAACATGTTATTCCACAATAAAATTACAATTCTAGTCATCTCACTGAGGAAATTATGGTTATGAGGAGAATTCTGACACAAATTAATATCTAAGACACAGCACTGCATTATTATGATTTGAACTCAATATTTATCTCTGAATGAAAGCGTATATTACTTGCACACAGCAAATTTCAACACCAAAATAAAACAGGTCGTCATTCACCATTAATGCCTGTTACTTAGCATTCACCAAAACCGCACTACCTAAGCAACAGAACTGCATTCGTTGGGTTTCCAGATTTTTCAAGCTAGCACTAACAGTTAGGAATGCTCACCACAAATGCTGCTAAAGATGCCAGCACTACTAACAGATGCTCACGTACAGTGTTTGCTAGTCAAGCAGACACCTTCGAAAACCACCTTCTAACCACATTAAAGTCACACTGCCCCACAAGATGGTGCTAGCACATTTGTAAAGACACTGCTACCATCCCCAACAAGTGCTTTCAGTAGCCCTGAGGCTGTGAAAGGATTCTCCCAGAGGTATTGCATGTTTGGTGTCATTTGAAGCACTTCAAACACTGCAGGCTGCACGGGGGGGTTTTGCTGTCGTGCGATGGCCCTCCATGCTGGACACATCGAGCGACCAAAAGCCGTGCTGGTCCCAACCAACAGCAGGCAGGGGGGTCAAGCAGGGAGAGCGCTTTGCCGCTGGACAAAGGAGACCAGTTAAACAACTAGGCAACCTCTTACTGGCCCTGTGTTACTAACTGAAGGTAAAAAGAGATTTATCAGTCCGTTTCTCAAAAGGATGCGCATCATTCAGCCTATTTATTGACAGCAGGATGCAGGAGACACTGATAGCACACCCGCTACTGAATCCCCAACCATCAACTTCTGCATTAACTATTTATGGATTTTTACCTTTTAACCATCTACTACATGGAGTAAACATAAAAGTAAGAATTGGAAGCGATCATACACAGTGGCTTTTGAAACCACTCTAAAATTTCCAGTGACAATTATATATAAAATAAATTTTGGGGGGAAATAAATAAATCCTTTCCACCATTTGCTTTTCTTCTAGTTATAAATTAACTTGCAATGCTACAGGTGGAACACTGACAGATAACTACATTTAAGTATCTGGAAAGACAGTAAATGTATGCATGCACGCACTATGTATTCAACCTATGTCGGATATTCTACACAGACTTTCAAACATATTGCTGAGACTAAGTTTTGATAATTTTTCTGTATTCTGACCTACAAGTTCCCTAATCTTCAAATTTTTTGAAATTATGTAATTACATACAACTGCCAATAAAAATTTCTTATCAGATTCTATAGAAAAACAATAGCTAGCTTTTCTATTAAACCATCATTACACAAGAATCAATTATAAAATGTGTATGTTGATTAAAAATGGATCCTCCGATTCCTTATCAATGCTTCCCACAAAATAGCATACTACACCAAAAAGAGCACTCTTCAAGTTTATGGAATAGAAACCAGTACTTTGAAGTTAACAGAAAAAAAACCCAACAAAACCCACTAGTGCCTTAAAGGGAAACACTTTGTCAACTAAAACCACTCAGCATACTACACAGGAGCAAAGAAAGCCTCAGGCACCGGTAACAAAACAAGAACAATTATTTACAGATGTCCCGCGCGCGCGCGTGTGTGTGTGTGTGTGAATTCCTTCCAGCTATTAACATATAGAAGAGGTGCTGCCAAGCTAAAAACTGAAACAATTACTTCAATGAATAATTAATTAGTAGATGTGTGTCAGCTACTTTCTTTTTTGCTTTTAAATACTTCAGTCTTTAAGTTATCATCCTAAAAGTGAAGTGATAGAATTCTAACTACCATGTCTACCACTACCAATTACTTGGAATACACTCATCTCTCCCGTTTTCTTAATACAGGAGCTGTCTCAACAGAACTATGTTCCAAACTACAAGCACTATAAATACGCCATAGTTCTGGAACAATGTTTGTGTTACAGTTTTGCCCTGAAGTTTCATCTGAGATGTTCACTGCTATACAAGCATACAAAAGACAAATCCCTCTCCCAAGAAGTTCATAATCTAAATACACAAGACTTCAGCAGCAGCAATAAACAATCCCTATCTCCATTTAGCAAATGGAGAACCGAAGAAGATAGATGAAACTGCTTCTCCATAACCACACTGGTCATATAGGATATCTGTAACAGATGCACAAACCCAAACGACTGCAAAGTCCAGCGTCTTAACCGTAAGACCGCCCATACTCTAGACTGCTTCAGTTTTATTAACGCAGAGTCAAGACGTATACTGCACAATGGGTTTGCTGTAAGACTAGAAAAAGAAAAGGTAAATGCAAGTTACCGTATGGGGACAACCTGACAATTACGCACGACCTGAAAAGCGTGTGCAGAGAAGAAAGGAATGCATGATTTTGCCTAAGTATCTCTGAAGGTCTTGAAAAGTACAAACAGAATGCTGTGCCTCTGCAATAAACTCATCCCATTTGACAGCCGAAGTCTTCCCATAAGAAGTTTATCAGGAAAAAACCCCCACCCCCAAAAACCAAACAGAAAATCAAATGCTTAAATATCAACAGAAATGACTACATTTCTCACTGTTTCTCTATGCCCCTATCATTGAGCCATCTCATTTTTTTTCTACAGCAAATAAGGAAAGCCTCATGGAAATACGGTGGTTATTCTAACATGAAGAGTTAAAAACAAAATTGTACAGTAGTAATTTAGTAGAACACATGGATGAAATCTAGAGGTATAAGTGATTTTAGGTAAAAAGTTTGCTCTCCCAGAACATGGATGGTCTGCAAATAATGCAGATGGAATCTCCGGAGCAGAAACACAGGTGAATGAAAGCAGTGTCTGAATCTTCCCTATAATTTGCATGCTTGTGAAGTAAGAGTCAAATTCCTGTGTTTGGGGGAAAAAATTGTAAACATATTTCAGATATTTACCTTCTCTCAGTTCCACATAAATGAGGCAGGAAAGCCCTGTTTACCAAACAGAATTAAAAAGTTATTTCTTGATCAGAAGAACTAAATGGTGATTTTTACTGCTTGCAATTTTAACCAAATACAAGTCTTACATTTCTCCAGTTAATAATGGACAGTTCTTGTTCAGCAGTAGACCGAACGGGTGATATTTAACTTGTAACACTATGCGACAATACAGTCTGCAACAGATTTATTTGAATTACTGTTGTAAATCATGCACTATGCTTATTTTTGAGACCAGGAATATTTGCACAGGACTAGGCATGTATGCATTTTAAAGAGAACGTGGACCAACTAAAGATTCTTTTCCAAAAGGCCAAACAAGCCAAATTGTTAATCCTGAGTTTAAAACAGTAATCACTCCAACTGCATAAGCAAGCTGTAGTAAAAGCTGTAATACTTATCCTATCGCAAACCCACAGTCTAGGCCAATATTCCTAGTAAGATAAAAAACAACATTTGCTACCCATTAATTTATAAGCATAAACTCCAAAGGTGACTTCAGAACATACATGAAGCAATGCCAACACCCCATGGAGTTTACAGTCTATATATGCGTTATGCCATTTTAGATTACGAAAAACTGTAGCATAGGTCTATTTACCTTTCCCAGGAAAAGATATCTGCTCTTTTACAATTTGACTAGGTCACTGCAAATTTAATAAGTTCGTAAATAAGGACATTAGAGAAAGAATGAGGGCTATCTGTTGAGTTCTACAGCAGTAAAACAATTAATCAGGCCTATCCAGAGTAGGCATGCCACAGTTTTATCAGGTTATGTGCTCACATGATGAAAACTCCCTGACTAAACATAAACCAGTTAGAATACACGTTTCTGAAAACAACTGGTATGTTAATGTTAACTTAAAAACAGTTCTGAATCTTTTAAATGAATAAAACATATACCTCTGTGTCAGAAAACACGGAGACCCATTCCACATCAGAATTTACTCAGTGAACCTTGCTCTGTCCCTAACCCCCACGAAGCACTGAGTTCAGGCAGTTCTACAGTTTACTTTCACTGCCAGTGTAACAAGAGACCTCTCTTAGGGTCATAAAAACGTGAAGATCTACTGACTTACGAAGACTTGCACCAGAATATTGTTTTGAACTTAGCACTCTGTCCACCTAAATAATACAGCTCTGAAATCGCTTCTGGCATCAAGTATACACTGAGCGCTTTCCACAGAATGCCAATGATTTAATTCCCTTCCCCCCCCCTCCCCCCCCAGCGTTTTAGTACCTTTTGTGGACAGATTACTTACTGAGTTGCAATTTGAAATCATTCTCTTCAAGTAAAGTCCATTTAACAATGACCTTGATGTTGTATTTAAAAGCAAAATGCTAAGTGTATGTTAAAGATTCCATACATTTCAGCAACAAAATGGGAAAAATTATTCATGCTTAAGCATATTACCAAAAGAAGGAAGATACACACTGACAGCAGGGGAAAGCCAATCAGTTTTCACAGTGTAATCATAAATCAGTCTGGAAGTTGGAGACTGATTAGGCACGGTAAGTAAGAAAAAAAGCAAGGTACCAGAAACTAGTATTCCATCAGTTATATTCAGGGTTTCAGCATATTTCCAGTGGCCTTAGTATAAGTCCCCATAAAAGTTTGCTAGACCCTTTAAGGTCTGATTGAAAAAGAACACAAAAAGAAAGTAGGACAAAAGTCGAAAACAAAGAATGTAAACAACCAAAAGAGGTAGATATTTGCAGGAAAGTCACCGCACTAAAAATAAACGGTGCAGAAGAAATAACCTCTTAGATACAAAAGCGATGTATATTACTGGCACAGAATTCTTAATTCAACGTAACTCTTTACTCTTGAGCATCTTAAGTGATGTGAAAAGGGAACTGCCCATTCTACAAGTTCTCAAATAAAAACTACATGCTAATGGGAAATTCACTGCCTTTAACTCTTTGTGGAAAGAGAGGCAAAAACCTAAAGGTATATGGCAATATACAGTTTATTTGAGTTCAAAGCAAGTTTCTTGCCAAAACCAACTATTTCTTGCCTCCCAACAATATTTGCCTGAACTGTATAGGAAAAAAACAAACAAACCCTTCATTCAATTTTTAGTTATTGTTAGGTACTACAATTTAGGACAGAAAAGTAAGTTATTGTTCTCTTAAAAAACCTACCCTATTAAAGAAATTCTGTTACAGAACCTGATATTGTTGTTATGCAAAAGAAACCATGCTAAAAAGCTGTTTAGTCTATAGAATTAACTAAAATTGCAGGGATTTCTCTGTGCAATTGCGGACATTTTGAGATCCAGGGTTTTTTTAATCCTTACAATTAACATGAGATTAAAGCTCCAGATAAAGCCCACAATGATTTCTAGCCCAAGGCCAACTCTTGTTCTGAACTGTAGGAGTGAATGTAAATGAGCATCTTACCTGCTTGGTTTTCTTTCGACTTCTTTGGTAGCTTTAGCTTCCAATTCTCTGGAACAGAAAGTGGTGTTGGTTTCCATGTCAACAGTAATGCAGCACAAAGCAAAAAAATAAAACTGGAGCAGGGTTAAGATACACACTGAGCTCCATATGTTGATTTGTCAGGAGGAAACGGGGAGACCACAGATTGCCAAGTAATCAAGTGATATGTTTACCCAGGGACAGCGAGGCAAGCCGAGCATAACCAACACCAGCTATCCTTCGCCACTACACAGCCTCTACTTAATCGTTCCAAGTACTTTACGGAAAACAATTCCGCTGCATCGCTTCAGCTCGAGAAGGGGCTTAAAACACAGCAGCGAGAGAGCCCTCCCTGCCCTGTCAGCCTGCGAAGGCCGGCGGCTGCCAAGGGCTGCCCGCTCCGCAGGAGCAAACAACAACGAGCACAGCAGGTCAAAGCTCAGCTCCGCAGGGAAACCGCTGCTTTTGG